TTCCTTTTTTTTTTTTTTTTTGGAGACAGGGTCTCCCTTTGTTGCCCAGGCTAAAGTGAGTGCCGTGGCATCAGCCTAGCTCACAGCAACCTCAATCTCCTGGGCTCAAGCAATCCTCCTGCCTCAGCCTCCCGAGCAGCTGGGACTACAGGCATGCACCACCATGCCCGGCTAATTTTTTATATATATATCAGTTGGCCAATTAGTTTCTTTCTATTTATAGTAGAGACGGGGTCTCGCTCTTGCTCAGGCTGGTTTTGTATATATATATATACACATATATGTGCTTAAATATATAACTAATACAAGGAGAAAAGAAGCCTCTTTCAGGTTTATAACCCATTGATAACGTTGTTATCCAGAAAGGTGACCATGAGGGAGGAAAAAAATTTGAGCTTTGTCTGTATTGTTTAGATTCCTTTTTTTTTTTTTTTTTGGAGACAGGGTCTCCCTTTGTTGCCCAGGCTAAAGTGAGTGCCGTGGCATCAGCCTAGCTCACAGCAACCTCAATCTCCTGGGCTCAAGCAATCCTAATGCCGAGTAGCTGGGACTATAGGCATGTGCTACCATGGCCGGCTAATTTTTTGTATATATATTTTTAGTTGGTCAATTAATTTCTTTCTATTTTTAGTAGAGATGGGATCTTGCTCAGGCTGGTTTTGAACTCCTGACCTCGAGCAATTTGCCCTTCTTGGCCTCCCAGAGTGCTTGGATTATAGGCGTGAGCCACCGCGCCCGGCCTAGATTCCTTTATAATGAGAATGGATTCGTATATTACTTGTGTAAAATTTACATAGTAAAATATAAACAAAGTTTAAAATCAATATGTTTTTAGAATTCTTCAATGGCATTCCACCATCTAGGGCAGGCGTCCTCAAACTACGGCCCGCGGGCCACATGCGGCCACCTAGCACATTTATCCGGCCCGCTGGTGTTTTTGCCGCCGCTGCCTGTCCTGCTGAGCAGCCGACTCGTCCCGGGCCCGCAGTGCACACTCTCCAACGGTCTGAGGGACAGTGGACTGGCCCCCTGTTTAAAAAGTTTGAGGACCCCTGGTAAGGGTTAGCAAACCGGCCCAGCCCATATTATAACCACATTAAAGTGTACGATTGAGTGGCATTAGTACATTCTCAGTGTTGCACAACCATCACCACTGTCTAGTTCCAGAATCTTTTGATCACCCCAAACGGAAACCCTGTATCCAGTCTCTCCCCATCCCCTATTCCCGGCTCCTGGCAACGACTGATCTTTCTGTCTCTATGGATTCAGCTGTTCTGGGTCTTCCATATAAATAGAGCCAGACAACATGTAGCCTTTTGTGTCTGGCTGCTTTCACATAGCATACTGTTTTCAAAGTTCATCCACATTGTAGCATGAATCGGTACTTCGTTCCTTTTGGTGGCTGAATAATATTCCGTGCATGGCTGCGTACCACGTTGTCTGTGTCTGTTCATCCATCACTGGGCATGTAGGTTGCTTCCGCCTTTTGGTGATTGTGAATTATGCTGCTACTATGTACAAGTTGTAGTTTGAACACCTGTTTTCAGTTCTTTTAGGTACATACCCCCACAGGGGGATTGGTGGGCCATGTGGCAATTCTATATTTAACTTGTTGAAGTAGACTGATTTCTAACACGACAAAAGATTTTTAAAAAATTATTAAGTAATATATGCATATTATAAAAATCAAATAGAACCAAAGGGTGTGAGATTAAAGGAAGATGTTCCCATCTCCATTCCTGCCTCCCATCCTCACATCCCACTTCCCCTGCGCTCACAGTTTTATTCGTATCTTTTCTTTAGAGTGTTTATCTTCGTGTCTGTGTATGCGTGTACCTACCTACATATACAGTTTTTAAAAACGGTATTATCATACATACACTGTTCTGTTGTCTGCTTTTCTCCCTGCAAGACAAAGGTGTCCTGACGTTAGGATTCACCTCCTCCGGTGGGTGCAAATGCCTGTGCATATTCCATTATTTGGATAGATCAAAGTTTATTCAGCCAGTGCCCTGGTGGCGGGCCTTCGGGTTGTTGCTGTGTTCTGTTGCTTTCACCAACAGTGCTGCCTGAACTTCCTTGTTCATGTAGATTTGGGCACATGGACAAAGAAGGAGTTCTGGAGGGAAATAGGCATGCCACATTGCCCCGAAGTCTCCCACATTTACGTTCTTCCCAACAGTATCCGAGTGTCCATTTCCCCACATCCTCCCCCACACTGGGTGTCTCTGGTCTTTATAGTTTTATGGCATTTCATCGTTTTAATTATATAAGCAGCCATTTCAACCCCCTCTCCTGGTCCTTTCCGTTGTCAATCCTGTAATGCCGGGCTGTTTTCTTTTTTCCAGCAAACGGAGGGGCACAGTCTGGTGGAGGCATCTGCTCCGAGAAGCCACTGGAAGCCTGGGACGCTCCGGGAGAAGTCGAGGCAGACGGAGCGGAAGGATAGTTCCAAAAGAGACCCCGATCACTCTGGCGGTGAGAGCTCGGCGGGAACTCCCGACGTCACTCCGGAAGATGAGGGAAGCTTCCAGACCGTGTGGGCCACGGTGTTCGAGCACCACGTGGAGAGACACACGGTGGCTGACCTGACGGGGCGCCATCTCCTGACCACGGCCCCCACTGACCGGGCGGACGCACACGTCCCGGAACCCAGGCCCCAGAAAGGCCCCCGGCCGGGGAACGACCTGCTGGAAGTGACAGGAGCCAAGAAAGAGGACCCGAGGGGCTTCGACAGTCCCGGGACAGAGGGATCGGGGCGAACCGCCCTGTGGAACGGCGAGCCGGGGCGGTGTCACGCGCCTCTCTGGGGAAGATGCGCTCTGGGTGAGAAGCTCAGCAGCAGCCCTTCGCTGAGGCGCTGGGAAAAGCCCCCCGCCGTGGCCCAGAGGGTGGAGCCCAGGTATGACGTCGTCGTGCACACGGCCGGGGAGCGTGCCCACAGCGAGGCCGTCGCCACGGCGCCCGAGGAGAAGGCGGTGGCGCTCCGCAGCGGCAGGGCCAGGACCTCGCTGGACGGGAGGCGGCTGTCCCAAGAGGTCGCCCCGGCTGACCCGAGGTGTGGGTCGGGAGCTCAGGTGGGGTCCGTCCTTCGGGCCAGTTTGATTTGGGAAGCTCGGGGGACACAGGAGGCGGCCGGCGGGCCAAAGCTTGACCTTTGGGAGCGGCAGGACGAGACTGGGGACGATCGCCCGTCGCCCGGGTGGACAGGTGGGGCGGCGGGGAGCCGGCATAGAGCCACCTCGGTGGGCGGCGAAGAGTCCTGTGCTCCCGGGGCCGCCTCCGCGAGGTCCACCAGGGCCGCCGTCTGGGAGGCCCCACAGCAGGGGCCTGGACGGGCCGGGCGAGAGCCAGGAGCGGAAGCACGGGGCGGTCCACCCCAGGGGAGGCCCCCGGATGCCCCTCACGGGGCTGAGGCCGAGCCCCCCGATTCCCGAGCACAAGCACGTCCAGACACGTTCTCTGGGCAGAAAGGGCCCCGCCCTGCGGCCCCCAGCGAGGAGGATCCAGGGCCGGCCCAGGTGCCGGCGGGGCCTGGAGCCCGGGCTTGGAGGGCCGGGCCCCCCGACCAGAGAACAGACCGGTGGAGGCGGCGGACTCTGCCCCACGACGTGAAATTTGACACGTTCAGCTTCCTCACCCCAAAGAACTCGCCCAGGGTGCAGGAGAGCCAGGCCGATGACCCGACCCCCACAGCCGGTGCCTCAAACAAGCCTCCACCGCCCCACGGGAGGGCGGAGGCCGGGGAGGCGCACCCAGGTGCCTCGCAGGACCGGCCTTTCTCCGCCGCGAGGCAAGGGTCACCCGGGGAACCCAAGGCAACGTTTTTTGCAGTGACCTACCAGATTCCCGACACTCAAAGGGCAAAGGGTGTTGTTATATCAGGGCTTGACAGCTTGCTAGAACATTCCAGAAAAACCTCTCCACCTCCATCTCCTCGTGCGTCCACACCCGCTTTGGTTTCTCTTAGCTACGAAGAGCCACCGGAGACGGAGCGCGGCGAGAGCCGGGCTAGGGGGGGAGAGCGTGGACATGCACGCATTTCAAGACACCGGAAGCTGGCAGACTGCCCCTTACCAACCGGGGACAGGGTTCTGGAACCTTCTAGTGAAAAAGTCATCGACGTGGACGCGCTCTTGCGTCACCGGGCGTCAGAGGATGGCGCTGGCTTTCGGAACGATGGGGAGGGTGGCGGGAGCGAGGTGTCCCCCGGCGGCGGCGGCGCTCCCCAAACGGCCCCGGCGCTCAGGAGCCGTCCGAAAGACGCGCTGGCCAGGAGGAGGACCCAGGCGGTCAGCGAGACGTTCCCGGGGAAGCTCAGAGACGGCTACAGAGCCAGCGTGCTGGACGTCGACGCCCTGGTGGCGGAGTACCAGGAGCTGTCCGCCCGAGTCCCGGGCCAGGCTCGGGGGCGGGAGGAGGGCCGGGTGGGGGGGCCCAGCTGCTGGCCGCCCTGGGAGAGGCCGGGCCTGCCGGGCGGGGTGGAACCGAGGAGGAGGAGGGGGAGCACGAGGGACGGACCCGAAGCAGAGGGGGCCCGGAAACCTGCCAGCTTGGCGGACGCGGGGCGCAGCTCGGCTCCCGGCTCGGGCAGGCCGGCGGCGGTGAGCCCGGACACGAAGCCCAGCCCTCCCCTGTGGGTGCGGCCGCCCGCGGCTCCCCCTGAGCCGCCCTCGGGGGCCTCGCCCGTCCCCCCCGCGGGCCCCAAGGAGAAGGTCCCGGGCATCCCCGAGGACGACAGAAAGGCCTTTGCGGGCGCCCAGCACGGCGCAATTTGTCAGGACTACCCGGCCGCGGCGAAGCCCTGCGGTGGGGAGGCCCCGGGCGGCAGGGTCAGCGGGCCGCCCACCTCGCCGCCCCCCGACCGGAAGAAAGGCAGCCTGAGGAGACCCCCCGAGTGGGCAGAGGAGCGCTTTGGGGCCCCGAGGGGCGACCCCCCGCCTGGCTGCACTCGGTCGCCGCCGGACATCAAGAGGGCCTGTCCGGAGAGGGGGCCCCCTGCCGCCACCCGAGAGGGCCTGTCCTCCACGCACGGGGCCCGGGAGAGGCGGAGAGAAGCCCCCAGGGGCGGCCCGGCCACCACAGCGGGGCCCTGCTGGCGGGAGTCGGGGACCGGAGCCGGCCACAAGGTGGGTACGAAGGCTCTTTCAGTTTTGTCCAGCGTTGAGTGAGCATCTAGGCCCGGGATTCGAACCCGGCTCCCTCGTGGGCCCGGTGGGTGCACCGGGCGGGGCGCCAGACTGCGAGAGGCGTGGGGCCGCGGCCGGCAGAGAGCGCGCGCCCTTCCCGAGGGGCAGCTGCGTCTGCGTGGCTCTTGACGCGGGGGAATGGTGGCCAGAGACGGCAGACCTCTCGTGCCAAAGCAATCATAAAATCCAGATTTGTATGTGGATCCCTCCCCCCTTGGGAAATGGGGGCAGCGTGCTGAACCATGCTGTGTAGACAGCCGCGGGGCCCCCGGTTTCACACCTCTGGCATCTAGAATGACGATGGTGGGTATCAGTGATAGCTTCATTGAGCTCCTTCTGTATACCGCTCTGTTGTAGTGTGTTCGTTGTTATGGAAAAGAGGGGTCGGGGCGGTTTGGTTCCCGCAGAGGCAGATCGTGGCGGGGGGTTTCTTAAGAGGCGATTCCAGGAGGAGCTGGCCGGGCAGCGGGGCAGTGAGGCAGGTGATTGATGCTGGGCCTCTGTGGGCACCGGGGGCTCAGCCTCACGGGGGACCCCTGGGAGGCAGCACTGAATGACATCTCTCGGTTGTCCTATCCAAGGAGCAAGGGACCTGCAGTGTGTGTTTCCCAATTCCTTCTGTCCTGGCCTGGTGCTGTTTCTGAGTTATTAACACTCAGACTCTTCCGCCCTGGCTGTCACCGTGTTCAGTGGTTCACACAGTAGGACATCTTTTGCACTGGCATGTACTTCCGAGCGGGCAGGGTGCTGACGACATCTGCTGCAGACGTGATCATCTTCCTGGACAGGTGGAAAAATGGAGGCTCAGAGAGGCTAAGTAACTTGCCCCAGGGCACACAGCGGCAAGCGGCAAAGCTAGTATTTGAACCCAGATCTGATCAAGTTATCGATAGGTGGTGGGCCACTTTCTTTTTCTTTTCTTTTTTTTTTTTTTTGAGACAGAGTCTCGCTTTGTTGCCCAGGCTAGAGTGAGTGCCGTGGCGTCAGCCTCGCTCACGGCAACCTCAAACTCCTGGGCTCAAGCGATCCTGCTGCCTCAGCCTCCCGAGTATCTGGGACTACAGGCATGCGCCACCATGCCCGGCTAATTTTTTCTATATATATTAGTTGGCCAATTAATTTCTTTCTATTTATAGTAGAGACAGGGTCTCGCTCTTGCTCAGGCTGGTCTCAAACTCCTGACCTCGAGCAATCCGCCCGCCTCGGCCTCCCAGAGTACTAGGATTACAGGCGTGAGCCACCGCGCCCGGCCTGTGGGCCACTTTCTAGTAGCCCAGTCTGCTGAGTGAAGTACTACCAAGGTAGGGAAGGAGTCTGAGCCCCCGAGGCCTCCCTCAGGAAGCCCCTGATCTCCGTGGGGAGGTGGGACCTGTGGTCCCAGGCCAGGAAGGGATGGGACGCAGAGTGAGGTGCCCGAGACGAGGCCGAGGAAGGTGTCCAGGTGTGCGGGAGGAGGTGCCGGCTTGAGCGCAGCCTGGAGGCACGGGCGGGAGCTCAGGTGGGCTGACGAGGGGGCGAGGGTGTTCCCTGCAGGGGCGCGGCAGGCACGGAGGTCTGGGGGTGGGAGAAGCGCGGTGTGCTCTGGAGGCCCCGTGGAAACTGCCTTAGCGCCCGCTGTGTGACGCAGCATCACCAAACGGGACGGGATCCCGCCCCTGCCCCTGCAGACCTGGCGACCGTAGGCAGGCCCCTCCCCTGCCTGGGCCTGGGCTGCCTCGCCCCACACAGGGGAGCAGAGGGCCGGTCGGGAAAGGGACGCTTCCGAAACGCAACAGTAGGGCGCTGTCGGTCACGGGGTCACGGTCACGCAGTGAGGGCTTGCCTAAAGTTGAAAGCCGGTAAGTGGCGGAGTTGGACTTTGAACCCACTCTCGTCCGGAGAGGCCAGGCTCTCTCCCCACCACGATCGGGGCCGTGCAGACTTGGCACCCGAATTTCTGCCTCCCGCCCGCGGTGCGTGAAGCGGTCCCCCGGCCTCGGGGCCCTGAGCCCTGCTCTCACTGACTGAGACCAAGCGCCCGGCATGGGCCACCCGGGAGCTGCTCTGGGAGGCTTCTCCTGTCCACCTAGCCAGCCCGTTCTTGGGGGAAGAGGGAAGAGGCCGTGGAAATGTGACACCTCATCCGTTTGCCAACACCTTGCTCAGGGCCCGCTGGCAGTGGGGGAGTGGGGGCATCTTGCTGGGGGGTGGGGGGGGCGCCAGGGCCCAGCTCTGTCCCCCAGCCTGGCCTTGGACGCCGGCCCGGAGGAGCACACAGGCCCCGGCAGTGCTGGTTGCCAGAGGATCTGTTTTCTCACCAAGGCCTTGGAAAGCCTTGGACCAGCTTCCCATTTCTGTCTTCTCTCCTGCCCAGAGATCTTTGGGCTTGGATCTTAGACAGACAGACAGAAAATACCACGCCAGTACAGAAGTTGAAACTGTTGGTTGTTAAAAATGCAAATCCTAGGGGGGGAGGGGGGTACAGAAAATACAGGGTGAGTCTTTCCCCAGATGCAGCCAGTTACGCGGTCTGACATCCTCTGGGACTCCCACACTCCACAGTCGCTCAGCAATCGTGTGTATTTATAATGGTCACCTTGTTCTTATGGCAAAAGCGGCGAATGTGTACGATTTAAAATACGATAGAAACATACAGCTTAGAAAGAAAATCTGCCCCGGAGGATGAGTCTGGTACATAACTTGGGAGACTCCTCTCCGGACCCATTAGCGGTTCTCGATTTTGCCCACGGGGCGCGTGGGGCAGCGTCTGGAGACATTTCTTATTGTCACGGCCTGGGAAGAGGTTGCTGCCGGCATCTCGCGGGTAGAAGCCAGGAATGCGGCTCAACATCCCACAACGCACGGGGCAGCCCTGACCAGCAAGTGACCCAGCCCGGGATGTCCACAGTCGGGCGGGTAAGGGACCCTGGTCTAGACACAGATGTATAGATCTAGGTAAAGACTTACGGTTTCTATGGAAACATGACAACGTTCTACAGAAAATCTGCTTATTTTTTTTTTTTTTACTTAACAGTAATTATGCATACAGAATCACCTTATGTAATGGCTGCAAAGTGTTTTGTTAGGTGACTTGAGCCCAAACTTTTTTACTGAGAGCCTCATTGATGGATATTTGGGTTAACGTGCATTTTTGTGTGTTAGAAGCAGGGCTGCAATAAGCATTTTGATGCATATCTTTGCTTCCTTGGGCGAGGGCTTTTTAATTCGCAACGAGTTCTGCTTCATGGACCCCGAGAAGAGTGATTACAATTATGATAATTATAATTAAAGCCATCTCTTCCTCCTTCCCTCTCTTTTTCTTTTTGCATTTAACAAACATTTATTGCAACTTTGTCCCAGGCCCAACGATAGCATTTGATTTACTTAAATTATTTATTTTCGTTTTTAAAAGAGAGACTATTTCACAAGGCTCCCCAAATACTTAAAAGTATAGAATAAAAATTCCCCCAAGACCTACCTTCTGTACATTCCTCTTCATGTAGTGATCATGTTTATTCCTTTCTTTTGGCCAGATTCTTTTAGGATTTCTTTCTGAAAATACAAGTAAGCAAATTATGAATATATATTCTTAGTTTTGCTTCTCCTTTTCCGTAAACAAGAGCATCTTCTACCAGTGGCTGCAATTTTGGTTGCAGGTGGGAGCAACATGGGGAATCCCGACAGGTGTCAATGCCTGGGCAGGGGTGGGGCCTGCCTTTGTTAGTTTCCAAAGCTGCCCAGGGTGTGCTTGGGTTGAGGATCTGTGCCGAAGCCACCTGTCTGTTTTTCTTTCATAAATTGCATCTGAGGGAGCTTTTGGGTTCAGCCTACAGAGAACATCCTTGTTCTTTTTGCCTGCGTTGTGGATGTAGCACGAATTATTTAACCTTCCCCCGTGGGTGATATTTTTGATGTTTTGCTGTTAAAAACCACGTACGAGCATCACCTTGCACGCCTGCAGGTGTATCTGTGGGTTCAGGATGGCAGCTGCCTATCTAAGGGTGAACGTGGTTGCGATTTTGCAGAGTGGCAGCAGTGTGCCATGCAGCGGGGTTATACCCATGTATCGGGTGTCGGGGTGTCCCCCACCCCCACCCCACTGCCCCATGAGTGCCCCTCGCCTGTCAGTGTGGCTGGGCTTGCTTACCTCTGTTCCTGTTCGGAGAGGGGGCATCTTGTTAGGTATGTGAGGCCATTTGCATTTCCTTCCTGTAACCCCCATGCTTCCTTCCGGTCCACCTGGTTTTCCTTTGCAACCTTGGTCCATTTCTCACTGGTTTCTTAGAGTTCTTTATTAGGAGATGAACCCCTTTGCACATGTTATGATTTGATTTCTCCCTGGAAGCAGCCTGGGAGTGCATGTCGGACAGACCTGGAATTAAACCCTGTCTGTGTGACTCTGGGCATTTCAACAGACCTCTCTTGAGCCTCAGTTTCCTCCTCTGGGGGATGGGGGGGGGTCCTGCCTGCTTCCAGACTTGTCAGAGATTTATCTCGTGAGATGATGCGTGGTCAAGCCCCTGGTGCAGGGGCTGGCGAGGTGGAGGCGGAAGGCATCAGAGGGAAGCACCCCAGCTCTCCGTTTATTTAATAAATGTCCGGAGCGTGTGCCAGGCCCTGTTCTAGATGCCGGGGCTGCCAGGAGCGGCTCGGGCGAGGCCCAGCCCACCACTGGCTCAGGCCACGTGGCAGCCACTAGCCACCTGTGCTTATTTAAATTTAAATTAGTTGTTAGTAAAATTAAATATGATTAAAAATCCAGTTTCTCGGTCACTCTGGCCACATTTGAGCACTCTGAAACCACATGTGGCTGTGGAACGTGCAGATACAGAACATCTGATCACAGAACATTCCAATGGGCATCCCGGTCTCGGGGCTGGGCAGGGAGGCAGTGAGTGAGTGAGACCGTTCATGCAGAGAGTCGTAAGTCTTGGGGGAGACAGAAAGAGAGGGTGACAGGAGGCCAGGGGAGGACTCTCGTGGGGAGGGACCAGACAGGTGCCATCCGAGTGACAGGAGGGACCCAGCCAAGGCCAAGATCTGTGGGGTGCACCATGTGACGTCCCCACCAGCAAAGCCGGAGGGTTCCGGTCCCTCTGCCCCCTCCCCTGCAGTGGTTGTCACCTGTGTTCATCCCATCGTGGTTTCCATTTACAATTCCCTGAGGGTCACTGATGTTGAGCGTCTTTTCACTGCTCATTGGCCACTTGTGTGTCTTTTTTGGAAGGATACCTATTCAGATCCCTTGTCTGCTTTTAATGAGGTCGTTTGTCTTTATTATTGAGTAGTCATTCTTCTTCATATTAATGTATTCTGGATAGCAGTGCCGTAGCAGACACAGACTTTGCAGAAATTTTCCCCTGTTCTGTGGGTTGTCCCTTCACTTTCTTCTAGGTGCTCTTTAAAGCACAGAAGTTTTTCATTTGGATGAAGATCATTTTACCTATTTTTCTTTTGTTGCTTGTGCTTTTGGTGTCATAACTAAGAATCCAAGGTCATGAAGATTTATGCCTCTGTTTTCTTCTAAGAGTTTTCTGGTTTTAGCTCTTATACTTAGGTCTTTGATCCGTTTTGAGCTGATTTTGGCATAGGATGTGAGGTTTGCAGCTTTGTTTTTTTTCTTTTTCTTTTTTTTTTTTTTTTGAGACAGGGTCTTGCTCTGTTGCCCGGGCTAGAGTGCGTCATAGCTCACTGCAACCTCAAACTCCTGGGTTTAAGTGATCCTCCTGCCTCAGCTTCCCAAATAGCTGGGACTACAGGGGTATGCCACCATGCCCGGTTGATTGTTTTGTATATTTTATGGAGACGGGGTCTCACTCTTGCTCAGGCGGATCTGGAACTCCTGGGCTCAAGCAGTCCTCCCGCCTCGGCCTCCCAGAGTGCCAGGATTACAGGTGTGAGCCACCGTGGCCCACCTCGAGGCATGTCTTGAAGGGAGAGTCTCAGCTTTGTCGATGGGGTGGAGGGACAGGGAGAATGGTGGGCGACCCAGGGGGCTTGGCCTGCCCAGCCGGAGGGTGCGCAAGTCACGGCAGGAGCAGTTTTGGGGGGGAGGAACGGAGAAGCCTGTTTTGTGCACGCAGATCTGAGAGGAGTGTAAACTGCTGAGGGGAGACGTTGAGTGGACAGGGGGGTCCAGGAGTCTGGAGCCCCAACACTGAGAGTCAGAATGGGCAGTCGTCTGGGCATAGACAGGATTTCTCTGAATCCGCGGGCGCTGTGGAGAGAGATCCGAGGGGGAATGATGCAGCGCGGAAGAAGAGGCCCTGTGGCTGGCCCGGGGCTCTGGGGAGGCTGACAGGGAGCAGCCAGGGGCATGGGAGGAATACCAGAGGGTCCCACCGGCCTTCAGAACGGAGCCCATGAGGGAAGGGATCAGGACTCCAGCCTCACTCTTCCTGACGCTGTGTGTTCTTAAGCAGGTGCTGCCCCTCTCTGGGCATTCTTTTCCTCGCCTGTGCAGGGAGCGTGTGGGGCGTGTAAAATACAAATTCCGGAGTCCTAGAGCCGTGTGTCTACTGGCTTGTGACTGTGTCCCCTAGATAGAGCTGAGTTGGTAGGTGACACATCAAGATTCAGACAGATGTGCTAGGGGTACCGGCCTGGTCACGCGCCGGGTCTGCGTGTATCCGTGCGTGTGTGTGCACGTGTGTTTGGATGCATGGAGAGAAGATTAAAACGAGGTGACCGAGAATGACGCCTGGCAGAGTGAGGCTGGCTGGCACGTATGGAGCGCCGCCCACATGCCAGGGAAGGCGGGGTCCGGCGGTGGCAGGCGGGGAACCTGCGGCCTGGGGGGGGCCACACGTGGCCTTCCGGATCTTTGCAGCCTTCCGACTGCATCCAGATGTTGCAGAACAAGCCCTTCTGTCCAAAGGGTGCAGCAGGGAGAGTGAAGCTTACCTTGCCTCCTTTGGTGCTTATAAAAAGAACAGTCTCGAAGTCAGAAGGTCCCAGGTTCCCCGCCCCGAGCACTTTTCTCTGAGCTGCGCCTTCTGTGGTTCTCCCACCAACCCTGGAAGCCGGGCACTGTCACTACTGTCCCTTCCCAGGCGGCTGAGGCTCAGAGAGGTGAAGGCTGTCACCTGAGGTCACACAGTTCTCGTGGCATGACGCGTCTTTTCTGTAGGCGAGAAGGCCCCCAGCGAAGCCCTTCTTTGTGTTCTGTGTCTCAGCTGCCGCCTCGGGACCTGGAGGAGGAGGACGCCCTCGGGGAGAGCCCGCGCCCGCCCCGGCACGCCAGCCCCGCGGCCTCGGGGCCCCGAAGAAGCCACAGCTTGTCCAGGGACAGGAGGAGCGGGCCCTTTGTGGTGAGTGACTGCCAAAGGCCGGAGCGGCGCTGGCCGGTGGTCTGGTCGTCGGGCGCCGCCGAGAATGTGGCCGCGGACGGTCGGCTGCCCGGGGGCCTGTGGGGGCTGGGGGCCGGCTGGTGGCTGTCCCGGAACCGGGCGTCGACTGCCTGACGGGCCGTGCCGTGGCCCTCGCTGTGCAGGGTGTTTGGGGGCTCTGGGCCGCAGGCCCGCCCTCCTCCCGGCTTTCCGGCCCCACGTGGAGAGGTGGCCACACACTCTGGTGTCGGAAAGTCACGGGTTCGAATTCTGGCACCGCGTCTTGTCAGCCTCTTCAAGATTTTGACCAGTTTACTTAATTTCTCCATAATTCTGTTTTTTCATCTGGAAAACAGGATTTTTTTTTTGGTAAGATTCAGGGTCTTGCTCCACTCCAGGCTGGAGTGCAGTGGCACAATCAAAGTTCACAGCAACCTCAAACTCCTGGGCTCAAATGATCCTCCTGCCTTAGCCTCCCAAAGCACTGGCATTACAGGCATGAGCCGCCGTGCCTGGCTAATTTTTAACTTATTTATTTTTTTTTAAGAAATGGGGTCTTGCTGTGTTTGCCCAGGCTGATCTCGAGCTCCTCTCCTCAAGTGATCCTCCTGTCTGCCTTGGCCTCCCAAAGCACTAGGGTCACAGGTGTGGGCCACCGCACCGAAACGAGATCTTGACTCCTGTTTCTCTAGAGCCCAGCACGCAGCAATGTGCTCGGTAACGGATAGTTGTGGCGACAGGAGCAATAGAAAGCCGGTTCGAGAGCCTGATGGCCTAGGTTCAAGTCCTAGGTATGCACACGTCCGTGCGTAGTCCCAGGTATGCACATGTCCGTGCGTAGTCCGAGGCACGCGCACGTCCGTGCGTGGTCCCAGGCAGGCGCACGTCCGTGCGTGGTCCCAGGCACGCGCACGTCCGTGCGTGGTCCCAGGCAGGCGCACGTCCGTGCGTGGTCCCAGGCACGCGCACGTCCGTGCGTGGTCCCAGGCACGCGCACGTCCGTGCGTGGTCCCAGGCACGCGCACGTCCGTGCGTGGTCCCAGGCACGCGCACGTCCGTGCGTGGTCCCAGGCACGCGCACGTCCGTGCGTCGTCACAGGCACGCGCACGTCCGTGCGTCGTCCCAGGCACGCGCACGTCCGTGCGTAGTCCCAGGTACGCGCACGTCCATGCGTGACCTTGGACTGGCCTCTGGCCTCAGTTCACTCATCTGTAAAATGGGGATAATAATAGTGCCTGTTTTATAAGGCTGGTGTGAAGCTCAGATGAGGTAATGGCAGCGGTCCCCAACATTTCTGACACTAACTAGGGACCAGTTTCACGGAAGACAATATTCCTGCAGACCGGAGGTGGGGGTGTTTGGGGGATGGTTCAAGCGCATCGCACTTACTGTGCAGTCGAACCTCTCCGCCAGGGACAGTCTGTGTTTGCAGCCGCTCCCGGGGGCAGCATCCCCGCCCCGCTCCCCCTCCCATCATCGGGCGTTGCATTCCCATAAGGAGCACAACTAGATCCCTCGCACGCACGCGCAGTTGGCAGTAGGGTTCACGCTCCTGGGAGAACCTAAGGCCCCGCCCCCTCCCCAGGATCTGACGGGGGGCGGAGCTTATGCGGTGGTGCGGGCGATGGGGAGCGGCCGTAAACACGGATGAAGAAGCCCCTCTCGCTCGCTTGCCGCTCACCCCCGGCTGTGCGGCCCGGTTCCTAGCAGATCACGGACGTCCCTACCGGTGTGCAGCCCAGGCCTTGGGGACTGCAGAGCTCAGGCATGAATTACTTGGCATGGTCCTGGGCACCCAGGAAGCACCAGCTCTCATTACCGTAATTATTGTTTTTGCTATTGCTATTACTGTTCTTGTTTTTGAGTCTCCATCTGGCTGCTGCTTAGCTCTGCCTCCTCGGGCCGCACTTCCTCCCTCTTAGCCTGGTTCGTCGCTCGTAAAGGAGGTGGGGGCACGATGAGCAGGGCCCTCCCGGAGCCGCCCCGTACCCGGCTGAGTCCCAGGGCCTCACCACCGCCCATGATATCTTTGTTTTTCTGGACTTCAGTCCCATGCCCTTTGGAGATCTGCTGAGTTCTGCGCTTGCTCGAGGAGTCCCTTCCCACCCCAGGTCCCACGTGGGGGTGTCTAAGACAGGTGGCTCCTAAGGAGGTGATGTTCCTGTGCTCACAAGGGTTTCTTTGGTTGCTCAGTTGTGTGTGTTTTGGGGAGACCTGAGGCTGAGGGAACTGTACGTGTTGGAGACCAGGGACCCTGCATTGAAGCGCGGGTCCAGCCCCTTGCAGCTTCATGGCCATGGGCAAGACAACACTTCGCTTTCCTGAACCTCGGTTTTCCTCCTCTGTAAAGTCGGGGTGAAGAAGATGCCCCTGGCAGGGTTCATGCTAGGACTGACGTAGAATGGCCACAACAGAGCTCGGCCACGGGGCAGGGGGTGACAGGCCAGGAGGAGCTCAGACCTCAGGCCTCGGTGAGACGGCTGCTGAGCAGCCTGAGAAGTTTCCTCAGGGGTCCGGTCCTAGCCACAGACTCGCACACGTTTGAAACCTGCCTGGTCTTTTTGCTAAATGTTCCCTTCCACTGATTTCTTTCTTACCTTTTTCCGAGTTTCCCTCTCAGGTGGCACCGACTCAGTTTATCTGATTGTCCTTGAACTTCTGTGTGTGTGAGTGAAGACAAAGGTGATGGAGAGAAGAGCATTTAAAACCCGTCCTTCTGCTGCTGGTGTCCTCCCTGGCCATCTGGCTCCTCCTCTTTCTGTCTCTGTCATTGAAGAGCCTTTGTTTTTGCAGTCCTCGGGCAGCTTGCCTTGGCTGTCGCCTTCTGGTGTCTGACGCCCCCTGCCGTGCTGCTTCCTGCTTGGCGGTGGGTGGGTGGAGCACGTAGGGGCAACCTGACACACCGGGGGCCTCAGACCTCACTTCTGTGTTTTCGGGACTCACGCCTGCAATTCTGGGGAGTGACCACAAGGAGGAGGTGGTGGGCAGCTCTCTTCCTAGTGGCTCCAACGGCCCCATTGGGAGGGACCTTAGCACTGGGCTCTGGAGGCCAAAACAAGTGAGTTCAAATTCCGGCTCTGCCACTGTGTGATGTTGGGCACGTGGCTTGACGGAGCTCATTGAGTTTCAGTTTTTCCCTGTGTGAGTTGAGGGTGGTCCTATCCAACTTCAACAGTATTTTTGTGAGCAGTAAATGAGATCACCCAGCACCTAAATTCTCAGTTAGTGCCTGAGCTGCAGTGGTAGCTTTTCATTCTCTCTCCCCCTCCCCTTTCTCCTTTCCTTCTCTTTCAATTTTTCCTCCCTTCCTCCTCCTCCTCCCTTCCTCCTCCTCCTCCCTTCTCCCCCTCTTTCTCGGCCCTCACTTTTTGCTCACCTATTCAATTCTCTCTTTATAAATGCAGAAACTGAGGCCCAGAGAGAGGCACTGACGCAGCCAGGGTGGCCCGCCAGATGAAGGCTGGCTGCCCCTCCTTCTCTGGAAGGAGGTCAGGCCTGCGTCTGCACCTCGTGAGGGGGGTTCGGATTCACCGATAAATGTTGTCTTCGAGGCCGGGCGTGCCGGTTCACACCTGTAATCCCAGCACGTTGGGAGGCTGAGGCAGGAGGATCCCTTGAGCCCAGGAGTTCAAGGCTGCAGTGGGCTGTGATTGTGCCACTGCACTCCAGCCTGGGCAGAGGAGTGAGACCCTGTCTCTAAAAAACGAAAGATATCTGCTATTGTTCCCATCATTGCTCTGATTAGTGACTTTGTGCTGTTGCTTTCCAAGGTAGGTTCAGGTTCGTCTGTATTTTCTGAGCCTGTGCCTTGGGCCTTGTCAGTCCCCACTCCCGGCCCACGTCAGAGAGCACGAGTTCCACTTTGCAGAGGGGGAAAGTGAGACACAAGGGGTTCAGCCACTTGCTGAGGCCACACACTTAGTACCTGGGGGAGCTGGAGTGGAACCCGGGCCCATCTCACTTCCAGCCTTGGACAGGGGCCCGTCTGCCATGGGACTGTGTTTTTGGCTTGCTGTTACACACACACACACACACACACACACACACACACTCCGGGGCCTACAGTGCTCAGTGTGTTAGTTGCATGAGGAAACATGACACCCTGAGCCCGGGGGACTCCTCCTGGGCTTGAGAACGTGATATTCATTCAGCCCAGAGTTGGCCGCCTCCCGAGAGTGCCTGGGGCCTACAGGGCTGGCGCCCGGCTAATTTGCATAGCCCCGCCCACACCTGCGGACCCGCAGCCTGGCCCTGCCACCTGCTGGAGGTTGCCAGCAAGTAAGTTTACCATGGGGGGCCTCACTTTTCCTCTTCCGTAAAGTGGGGAATACTAGAAATAACAATGCCTAACGCAGCGCTCACATGTGGCATAGATACTGTTACTAGCCCCACTTTATGGATGGGGAAACTGAGGCTCGGAGCCATCAAGTACCTCCCACGAGTTCTGGATCTGGAGTCCACTCTCAACTGTGTGCTTAACTCCCTACTCCCCGCCTCGTAGCCCACGGGGACCATGGTGCTCCTAAAGCAGTTAGAGCACGTGCCTGGCACAGAGTAACTGCCCAATGAGTGTCGGCTGTGTTACCGCGTTGTTAGTCGTTATCCGCTGTCACTTTTCTTCTTTCCTGTGTTCTCCTGAAGAGGTGATGGGAAAGGAAAGTGTCTCCAGTCTTCAAAGCTTTTCTGCAGTTGAGGGAACTGGGGCCGGGTGCGGGGAGGCGTCTAGGGTCCTGGGGCAGCCAGGGCTGGACCTGGGGTTGAGTCTTTCTGATTCCTTGGCCAGTGCTCACTGCTCTGCCTCCCTCCCTCGTTCCTGTCAGGGCTCCTTCGGGACCTGAGTCCACATGGCAAACCCGAGGCCCCTGCCTGGCCTCCCCCTCCTTCCCTGCCCAGTAGAGCGAGCTTTGGCCTGAACTCTCAGCCGGATCATAAAGCGCGGTGACTCAGTTGTGGATCGTGACCTCGGGGTGCAGTTCACCCC